CCCAACTTTGTTGTCCGAGGCTGTAGAAGCACAGGACAAAAAGCAAAATCCACTGAAGAGGAAAGGATTCTCATTCAATGGGGAATGAAATGAAGACCAGCCTGAAATCCATTAACATCAATTTTACTCTCAATATGAGAGACAAAGAAAAAACAGAATAGCAATTCAGAGATGCCAAATCCATAATACCAGCATAAGGCAAACACAGAAGAGACATTGAGGAAATCATGCCAACTCTTCAAAAATTTTGCTCTAGGGAGAAACAAATTAAGTACAAATTCCTTTCACCCAAACACACTGTATATTGGCAGAGGACTGCTGAGTCCGAATTCTCTTGTTAACAGACATTGAGAATTGTGCTGTGATTGTTTGATTCTGCTTTCAAGAAACATTTTAATAAAAACTTACTTGCAGTGCTACAAGCTGCAGAGCGTTTACAAGATGCCTGCATGATACTTCGGACTACTTATTTAGCTAGTGGCCATTACTAGAGTTGTACTCTAGTACATCACTTAACATGATCTCGTAATCCGTCACAAAGCTGAATGACTGCATCTATTCATCTTCTGCTGTTTTTTAGTAACCAGACCAACAGAAGAATTACTACTCAAGCTCTCAATAAAACAGTCTGTGCAGATAAAGGAAAGTGAAGGAGGTTAAACTGGGAATGATTATTGAAGATACATTCATCGTTTACTACTTAGCAGTCTCCTCCATCAACCTGTTATGCACATGGTTCCTTCTGTTAGACTTTAAGTGATTCTCGGAAGACATTCTGGAAAACAGAACAAACTTAGGACAACCATAAGGTGGACAGCTCTTGACAGTCTGCAGCAGGAAGCAGTTAGCTTTCTGAAAAACCTGAATTACTTTCTAATGTCTTGTCCCCGATACAGACCACAGCTGGCTTGACATTTTACTTGCAATTTAGTCAAGCAGCACAGTGGTCACCTTGATCACTGGAGGCAACAACAGTATTTCTGATCATGGAAGACTTTTCTCCTGCTTATCAAAGCTTATTTAAAACTTGTGTTTTAAATTCTGTAATCAACTATTTCATTAGATGGTTTTAATACAGAAAACAGACTAAGCATTCAGCTTAGTCAATCAAGTGATTCTTCACAATTAACATTATCTTTACTACTTCCACTTCACAGGTAAACTACCACACCCGGCTGGATTTTCTACCACACCCGGCTGGATTTTCTACCACACCCGGCTGGATTTTCTACCACACCCGGCTTCCATTTGCTTGGTCTGAAATTGCTTTAGAGCACTGTAAATCAGAAAAATCTCAGAGTTCTGGGTGGGAGAAAACAGAAACATGTCACAAGCATTATCCAACAATTTATACATATTGTAGAAGACTCCACAATCCTATACCTTGCTGATCAGTTTGATAGTCAGAATCCAACGCTAATTATATTACGTCCAGTATCATGTTATGTGCATGATGGACTGCATAATCATAAAATACGCTATGTCCTCTTCCATTCTGCTATCCTCTCAAATACTTACCTACAACATTCACAGTCAATACTTAGTCTACGCTTTTTCAAAACAGCTTCACAGAGAGAAATAAACGTTTCTTCCCTTTGAAGTACTGAAACATTCTTCATTCTTCCCCACTCCTTCCCAAAGGCAGACTAACCTCTAGCCTTTTTTGCTAGACACTGCTGTACACTTTTATGTTTTTTTAAGCATTTCTTGTTTAAAACAAAGCAAGAACTTCCACTTATTTCTATTGACGCAACTCCAAAGCTAAAGAAGAGTGTCTCTTAATTACTGGAGAATCCAGAAGTCAAATAAGATAGAGTATTGCTTCCTTTTGGAGACTAACCTGTCTCACTATCTCAGACTCTGTCATCCCTTCCTTCCTGCCTTAGGACATTCATTGTCAAAGACAAAACCGCAGCACAGACTATTATACATCCTCTTTTCTCTTGCATTCAAATCTACATATTCTGGATTACATATGGCAACTTAAAACACTAACATTATTTCAAAGTAACTGCATTGGAGGAAGGGCCAAAGTCAACTACATAAGTTGCAGACAGCAGAAGAAAAGAAAAATGAAATAATTTCATCAGACATAATAATACACTGGAAAGATAGGTGGTCACTTTTTTGGTTGATTTTCATGAAACTCCAAAGTCTCAGAATCACAGAGAACTTACGAAAAAGCTACAGGATTTTTAACGGAACTATTAAGCTTATACACTTAAACAAAAATGGGAAAGAAGATAAAACAAACTTTTCACAGAAACTCTAATTCAAGGATTTCAGTGATATTACATTCTGAAGCGTATTGCATTTGTACAACATAGGTGAAATAATGTCCATTATTGATAAAGCTCTTACCTGATTACAGATAGCTTTTAAAGTTGCATTAAAGAGCAATAAAACAGGTGACCTTTTTCCTCTCTGGCATTACTGTAACAAATCTGTAGCGAAGATGGAATGAACTTAAATTTTCAGCTTACCTGTTTAATCAGATAGCCTCAGTGTATGGTATTCCCTGAATGTGTGAATAATGGGTGGGGTGAGGATTGCATTTTGCATTCCCTGACCTGTTTTATGTTTGACTATTTCATCTAATTTCACATTAGCACAATATTCTTGTATTCATGCTAACATGCACCAAAGCAAATTCTATATAAATTAATTTACAGATATCACTTATCAGAGAGAATTTTCTCTTTAAAACTTCATATAAAAGAAAAGAATGCAAATCCAATCGCCAGTTGACTTCACTGGAAACACAGCTGAACCCAGTATTACCTGTAACATCCATTCTTCAAAGAGAAGTCACAAAATCTAATAAATAAAGGTCTGTAACATTTAATATTATGAAAAAGGTTAACACAGTATTTACTTGCACATTCTGCTTCATTCTAGCCTGACTTGAGTTTCCTTATGAAGATCACAGTAAACATGCCACATTCCAGGAGAGTCCTGTTCAATTTTCTCCATAATCTCTTCCCTGTGACATAATTTTCACAAGTATTCTGTGCAAGATAAATCAATACAGGTGTGTATGCTGTTTCATGTAAAAATATTCCTCATTTGCTTTTTCTGAGGTATTGCACTACCCTGTATAAGAAAACACATGATTCCAACTATGAGAGAGTAGGTATGTGACCAGGAAGCCTTGAAAAACGTGTCATGCCACTACTGTTGAAGAAACTTCTGGGGTTTTTTTGTTTGTTTTTTTAACCTCAGACCCAAGTCAAAAAACTGTACTAGGGAGGGGAGGGAGGGTAGGTGTTGCTCTTTCCGATTTTACTGCGGGATCGGCAATAATCTATTTTACTGACAGAAAACTCTCCCCACTCCACAGGGACAAAAACTGGAGGAGAAAAAAAAAGTAATTTACTAGCATGGATCACCGCAGCATAAAATACCACATATGTGAGGAGAAAAAAAAAAAAGAAAAGAAAAAAGCAAAACAAACCACCAATCATATGAGTTAAAAAAAAAAAAAAACAACAAAAATTAACCAACCCCCCCCCCCACCCCGCCAACAAAAAAGCACAATCTCCTACAAATCGCTTACTCACATTTTTTGTGGAACCATTATTCACCCTCTAGGATGCTCAGTGAAGTACCTCTCAAGAAGTACTAATTTTTCCCAGTAGAAAGAGGTATAGCATTACAACATACAAAAAACATTTTGAAGTATTAGCTAATATCCTGGGATTTTCACCATCAATAAACATACCTCACGTTTTCAAGATATCTAAAAGACACTGCTGCCATTTCATAAAAACACAGCAGAACATAAAGGCTCATATTCTGCAAGCCATGCACAAGAATGAATCAGTGCAGACAGATGCACTGAGCAAAATATTGCTACATTTACCTTAAATGAAAAATATTCAAAAGATAAAATACTAAATAGGTGTACTTAAAAAAAACCTCTCAAGTATTACTATTAAAGTAATAGATTTCTGTTCAAGGTATTCAACTCCACAAAGTTAGTACACCTTGCTTCAAAGAAAGAATCTAAGAGGAAAACCGAGCGTAACTGAATTCAAGAACTTTTCTGATTAAAAACGTGAAACTTATTTTTCTATCTTAAGAAGAATATCTGAAGACAAGTCTTGAACATTCCAATGCTACAAAATATGCTGGAAGGCATTTCAAAACTTTCATTTAGCACCAACTGATTTACCATTCTTTTTATAAATTTGAAGCAGCACATTGATACACATCACTGCAGAACTACAACCTTAGTTTGCAGAACAGTCTTTGGTAACAACTACTGTTGGATTCTGCTCAAATGACAGAAAATAGAAGAACCATGCTAAATATTCATCATTAGAGCATTCTTAATCAAAGATTGTTCAAGAAGAATCACGTACACAAGTGAATCAAAATATATATTCAACCAGTGTTTCATAAGAGGAATACTTTCATAGTAAAGACTTTTTCTATATTTAAGGATTTTTCTTAAAGTATACTTTTGCATTAAGATGCAAATTGTCAACTCACTTTCTAGCAGAAATTCTGACCGCTGGTACTCAAGAAATAAAATTTTAACATGACTTGGCAAAACTGTACTTCTTCCATTATTTTCCAGAATTCAAGTGTTATTTGGGCAGTATGTAGTGATTATAAACACAACCTCACCATATTGTTATTGAGTAAATTACTTTTGATATTAGGAAAAAAAACAAAAAATCAGAATCCACTTAGATGTATCCTCCACATGCATTTATGCTAATTATCAGCATACTGGAGCTGTTGGTAAAATATGAAATTAATAGGGTATTAGCATGTTGGTAGGTAGTTGTAATTATCTTCTCATGTTGCAAAAGATATCTGAAAATCATTTATGAGCAAAGGACGAATGGTGTTCCACAATCTTCCCTAATCAACGCATGGAGACGACAGCAGTAGAAGCAAATAGGCTGACAAAAGTCCGAAACCCATAAAGGTGATTAAAAAAACAAAACAAAAACAAAACATAAACAAAACTGCTCAACACAGCTACTTACATCATGGCCTACAACTTCTGTCTGAGTGGATTTATCTGCTTGGGAAGTGAGAGCCTTCTGTAAACACTGGGCTTTTTCCTGTAAAACAAAGCATCATGTTGTGAGTGAGTCATGTTTTTCCACACCGTGCTTTACGGCTAGAAACATCCAGATAAGAAGTACAAAACTCATGCATGGACAGCTGTTTAGAAATTAATTTATCACAGCATTATACTCACTAGGAGGTTTAGTTCCCTGTTATTTTTTCCTTATATTATCTGATCCGTCTCTTAAATGAAGTGTGAGCTCAGAAAGCATGACTATGTGGGAGAACTGGGACCACCGCGAGGAAGTTACCGCAGTGTAATGCGGAGAAACCTTCTTCCAGAGCAGATATATGCCTCAACACACAAAATGCACTAGGGAGCACACATAGTTCTAACAGCAAAGACATCATTTTTAGAAACATTAAGAAATACGTAAACTCTACGGCAGATCAAAACATCAAGACAACATCCCTCTTGCTCAACGTAAACATGTTATGCAAAGCCCAAACGCTTCTTGGCTATGTACTCATTTCTATTCCTCCCTGCAGCTCCTTCCCACCCCAACATTTTTTGAAGTCTTGAGTGGAATCTCTGGCACACACTCAAGCAAACAAACCTGGCCATTTTGGCATAACCATGCTTCACAGAAAACACTCAGAAGCTTCATTTAACGTGTCAAAACTTATCATTGATTAGATATATTGAACCTCATCCACATCTAGCCTCAGTCTGTGTGTATATGTATAAAAATGTGTGTGTGTGTGTGTGTGTATTTATATATACACACACACACACACGTGCCTGTATCTATACATACATATATAGATGTACATATGTTTTCTTCACCCCCCCCTCCCCCTTGAATGTAGGTCTTCTCACCTGGAAAGAATATCATGGGACAACCATAACTATATAAAGGGAAAGGTTGGGAAAATGTGAACAGTAAGATAAAGCTTCATGAATAGAAAAGAACACACACACACAAAAAAACACACCTCACTGCACTGATTTAAGTATTCCTGTCTACCAACTCACACACTTATTTTTCAGCTATGTCCATATGAAATACTTCACTCATCTCAGACTGAAATGCCACAGACCTATAAAAGCATGCTTTTGTGTTACTGATAGCTATGTATTATAGTAAAACAGAATCTTTGTTAATTGAATTTCAGGTTAACTGAATCTTAAACTGAATGAATCTCAATTTTTACCAAAATAAACATGCAGAAATTTTATTATTTTCAGCTATTTGAGTTGTGATTTCCTTTACAAATATTTTTCTATATAATTAAAAAAAAATCGTTCATTTCAAGGACTGAGACACTCATCTCTAAAATAAATTAACTCTCACCAAAAGCATGTACACAACAGAAAGACGACACCCAAACGGCCCAGTCTCTGACGTCACAACTCTTAAAACAATAACAGCAGCATGCACACCACTGATTGATCGCTTCAGTGGTACAGGACAACTTGCTCCCAAACTCACTGATATAACCAATTAGTTAAAACTTTATTCAGAGCAAAGTTAATTTTCTCATTTCCAACAGAAAAGCTTTATCTTCCAGTTTGAACTTGATAGTTCATTGTCCACAGCATTTTAACTTATTTTGTTTAGGTACTGGTCACTTGTTTAGTATTCATTTTCTTAAACATTTGGACAGTAACATTTACTGCTAAAACACTGCCTCAGTTTTCCAGTTACAAACCCTGGCATTCACAGAGACTGAATATTCATTTACGTAACACGATGCTTGGACTGAAAACAGTATTAGCACGGATGTGATCAAATTTAACATTTGTGTACTTTCTATGTGGATCAACAAATACATATTTTTGAGTAACTGGGGAGGAAAAAACAACCGTAAAGAAAACAAAACCTTCCATAAGGCAACCTATTAATTTGGGAAGCTAGAAAGGTTGAAATAATCAAAAAAATACTTTTTCTGCAAGTAGCTCATTTGACTATGCAGAGAGATCGATTTTCCACATAGTGATCTGAGTTCTGATTTCACATGAATTTAATTACCAGAGGTGGGATCTGAAGACTCCCATGTTGACAATGCATAATACCTCCTCTATACTCTACAAGAAGAATACATTCAATTTTGTTGACGTGAAACAAGCTTCATAATGTGACCTAATTCATTTCAAAAGCATTAAAGATAATAAGAATACAACACAGGTCACCTTATTTCCAGAGATGCAGCAAAAGCCTACAAAACATTTAATATTACAGAGACAGTACTTTTCCATGCAGTGACATGACAAGCTCCAAATTGTCTATAAAACAGCATCCTGCTGGAAGAGGCTACTTGCACGTAACAGTCATTCACCTTCATCTTCATTCTGTATGTTTCACTAACTTACACTACCTCATCTCTATAGAGATGCAAAACTTCTTGCTGCTAGAGTAAAATACATATTCCCCAAGATATACCTTAGCTTATGAAATAATTCCGCTAATATTAAAGGTATTAGATGCCCCAAAACACTGTAAGGCGTTCTTTCTCATCTTCAAATGACAAATTGGTATTTTAAATATAACTTCATGCTGCAGCGACTGTATCAGACAGACTTTATAACAGACTAAAGCAATAAAACGTTGGAAAGAAAAATTTACACCACCACATGAAGTTTACATTTAAATTGTTATATATTATACAAAGCAAGTTAAATGTAAAGCTTCTCTGAAAAACTATCTCTGTAAAACTGTAGCAAATCTTCACACAATAACTACATATTAATTCTATTCTACGCAAAAAGTTGTGTAAAATATTAACAGCCACTTTATTTTATTGCATAATATAATACTGTAAATACCTGACAACCTTCACTAAGTATTTACAACACTGCCTTCTTTTGGCCATACATTTATTGCTCCTATCCCTATACAGGGCAGGAATTCAAACAAATTCCTGCCCCCAGGCACAGCCAAACACCCTCTGCAGGCAGGCAGGCTCCCCCAAAGAAGAAAAATTGCTTACAGGAGATACTTCCACCTTTGCCCAAATATTTTTTTTTCAAAATCTCTTATAATGACTTAAGTAATAATGACTTTGAAAGATTTGATGTCCAAAACACCTATTCATTTTGCTTTCGCAAGTGCGTTACCTGGTACGCTGCTTGATGGGGCCGAGATCTCCACAGTTCTCTGGTCTTCGCCCCTCGAAAGGGCTGCAGCCAAGCAGCGCTGCTGCAAATGGAATGGCCTCCAGGACTAAGCAAGAGAGAAGCAGTAAAGGAAGGCCATACCTTTTGTTTAGCCAGCTAGCACAGACAGGACAGATGGACAAGCTTCTAAGCGCCCAGGCTCTGGAAAAGGGCTTTTGGAACCAAAACCTTGTCCATTTTCCTCCTTTACAGCAAATCAGCCCAATAAAAGATCGTCTTACCTATTCATTTTGCTTTCACAAGTGCATTTTAAAAGCCAAGGGGCATGCTTTAACATTAATGGCAAAGAAATGAATTATGTGGATATATGCTTTATTGCAGCCTTCATTTGCCATCACCGCATTACTCTCAAAGATAGTTGCTTATTATTATAAAGTAACATTTTAAAACAATGTTTCAAATTCTGAAACTTCCCCTAGACTTTCCTGCCATTTTAGAACACTAGAGTATCTCCTCCTTTCAGAGGCTTCCTAGCTGAATCATTAGTGACCGTTTCCGTAAGTGACGGAGTCTTCCTACTAACTGCATATGTCGAATCCTATAATCCTTTCTCCAATCAAAAAGCTTCCAGAAAAAAAAAAAACCAACCTCATTATTCCATGTTGATATGTAAGCATTCTGAAAAAGCTAAAACACAGTATAGGTGCTTCCTTAATCTCTTCATTTGTCTACTGAGATATTTCATAGAAGGCTAAGCCGTCCCACCTCCTGCTTTTTGTCCTTTCCTCGCGTGAATCTTGAGGAGAGTCTGGCGAGCAAAGAAGAAACACCAATATTCCTTGCATTTCAATAGAATGCTAAAGTGTTAACCAGAATAAATTTGCATCTGAGGACAACAAATGATAAAGACTAACACAATCAGAGTGATGGTAAAGACTGCAACTTGTCTTAGAAATGAACAAAACAAAGCTACTGCTTCTCCCCAGATTTTTATATCCCTAAACATGTGTGATTTACAAAATATCAAAGACTGAGCTTGATTGTTGTCAAGATTCAGAGTACCACGCTGAGTATTTTTTGACTCATTACTCTACTCCTCTTAATACCACCAGAAGAGGAAAAAACCCACCAAAATAAACCCCAGAACATACATTAAAACTGCTGTTCAAGACAGGAGTAACAAAGTCATTCTGATGTTCTCGCACTCTAGAGTGTGCTACTGAAAGCCTGCCTGCTTGCAGCTGACACTCATCACGAGATCAATAATCCACCTTACGTCTGTCAGATAACTAAGGCCTTGGCAAGGATGGGGTAACAAGTGACCTAACTTCTCACTGCACTACCCATAAAGCTTGGTCTGTTATGGTGAAAGCCTTCGATTAGTGAAGAGAAAAAAAAAAATAGTAGTTTAGGAATCATTATCTGTTAAAAAAAAAAAAAAAAAAGTCCTTCCCCTACCCCCATCAAGCATTCTACCTAACTCTGCAATTTAATGATCAACCATACAAGGAGCAGGAAATCTCTATTAGGACTATATAGTTTGCCACTCATTTAGGCTTCTGACTCCTACTTTATGCAGGTGCTGACATGTTATCAACTGTTAGAAATCATATCATCAACCGATACAAAATAAGTACAGGGAACAAAAGATTTACATGATTAGGAAAAGTGTCTTTGCAATATAAAGTCATAAAACAGCAGCTCCCTACCAATATTGTTCCTGCATGAGTCCAGGGCAATAGCTGGAACTGCAAACATAACAAATTTTGCACCCAAGAGGAGTCTTGTACATAAAATGACTATATATAAATGCTTAGAAATTACCTTCTATACTTATATTAATCAAACAGAGAAAAACCTTACAAGTTCCAGCCGTTTTGGATGATTCAGAAGTATGTTAACCAATACAGCTGCAGCTTTCCTCACTAAGCAATC